CGAGGTCACAACCTCCAGAAAAAGAAATTGTTCGTGAAGAAGTCCGAGTTGTGGATGAGCGAACAGAAGAACGACTTCGACAAGCTTTAGGAGACGTGGCAAGATTGAAAGTAAGGTTCTCAGCCCGAAGCGAATCGCGCAAAAGATTTTCTGCGTTTCAGGAAGAGATTGAAGAACTTGAGAAGGCGAATCGAGCCTTGTACAGGAAACGAAGAAGAAGCATCGTTCCTCTTGTTTCAACGGTAATTTTTGCTAACTCAAAAAGATTCAATCACTCTCAAAACAATTCCAAGCAGGAGTTTGAATTCTCATAATGTTTTGTCAAAAAACTTCTATTTTGTCAAGAAAAAATCAGTACAGTCCATTTTACATGAGAAATGCTCTTCATTGAGTTCAGAAGTGTTCAGTTAAGCAATATTTGCAGTGCATCTGGCCCTGGCCACTATAATGAGGAAATGAGAAAATAACTCTAAACCAATTTTACTCTATGAGCAGAACCAAGCGAGACTTCGCGAAAACGAACTATACAGAAAAAAATTGAAAAAAAAGAACTAACAAAGAATAAGAGACCGATGGGATCGCAGTAGGAAGCGCTGCTATTACTACGATAATGCATAGATAAATACATACCCCAGGCAAATACTTTCATATTTCCGATGTCGGTTACCTGTATTGCAGTTTTTACAAACTAATGCTTACCTGAAATTTGGATTGTTTTCAGTAAATGTAACAGGCCAATATGCATGCAAGTGCCTCTATTATGCCCAAGCAAGAGCGTTAGCCTTCCGTAAAAACTAAGAAGAGTTCTGAACTTACCTTTCATCCCATGTCTCCAATCTATGTGCTTCTAACGGAGAAAATTGACACCTCTGAGGGTTGGGTGTAGAGACATCTTTTGAAAATAATCCACTTATATTACACTTTTTTCATCCAAAGATGCATTATAAATACTATCAATTTATCATTATTTGTTAACTTGCCTCGAAAACCGTATTCTGTTTATTTTGAACAAGAAGAAGTAAGATCTTTATTATTTGGAGTTTCAAAATTAGTGAATTTTTGGTAATTCTCATAATCTCATAAATGATCATCAAAATCTCATAAT